ACCCGGTGAATCGCTGTCCAAAAGCTTCAAAATGCGAACTTCGGGCAATCTCATCGGCGAACGAGTACCGCATGCGTTTCGCAGGTGCCGCGGACAGATCCGTGTCGAAGTCACCGTTGTCTTCGGACGCCATTGCGCGCGTATGTGTGCGTGCTGTTTGATGGCGCGGCGGATAGTGGGTACGTCGACGCGGTGATGACGACGACAACGACACAGACGATGGCCCACCCACCACCTAGTTGTGCTACGGCAGCAGCTGCTGTATTGACGTCGACCAATGGCAGTGGGCAAATACTCACAGTGCGTCCACCTACCCGGTTGCTGGTTCCCTTTCGCCGGGTTTTTTTAAAAACTACATGAACTTTATAATATTATTTGAAATAAGCGACATACCCATGAACCTAGGTCTATGATTATAATATGAACGATCTGAATAACGTTGTTTGTAAACTTTCTCGAGTCTGTAATAACTTCGTTTATACATTATTATAATTTAATGTTTATAATAATAAGTTATATGAACATCAGAACAACATACAAGTTTTAAAAAAGTCAAGTATATAAATTATAGTAAATAATACATTTCTGTAGCTGTTGAACGTGATTTTTAAACATAGACATGATACCAATAAAATAAAATGTTTAAATGGGAATATACTACTAGTTTTAAAAATCTGGAGACCTCACACTACAACCAGCAGCTTAAATTTGAATTACCATTGGCCATTCGTTTTATTGGGGGGGGACTCCGAAAAAAATCTTAGGCATAATCATGATACTATTAATGATATTCATATTTAGATAACATCATACCAGACATCAACTATAATGATAGTTTCTATACCTATACACAAACCATAAATTAAAAACCTACCAGGCTAACGATTCTGCAGCAGTCGATCACGTAGTTACTAACGATTACATACAAATTAAATATAACAGTGAGACATATTATCTCAATGTCTCATAAAGTCACAGAGCAACGATAACCACCATCCAGCAATTATAAACTGGATCCCTGATTTTAGATTCCAAGCGAAGCGATAAATGTATTGATTTTACTATGATGTGTTTTATTTTTATTTTTTGAGGCTTTCGTCACCTTTTAAGGCAGTAAAAGTTCTTTGATCTTCTTCAACAGCATATTTTCTGACAGGAAAGTAAATCTAGTATTTTGGTAAGATGAAAGTAAAAAATTCAAAATACTTTTCCAAAAGCAGCAAGACAAACAAACAAAATATTAAGGAAAAACGAGAATTTTAACGGAAAACTGGTTTTATAACATAATAGATTTTGGTCTTTGTCCTTTGATGTAACACTAAAAAAACATACCGTACATACATGCAATTATCACTGAATGTTTATACTTTCATTTTCTATACACCATACAATTTTCAAAATATTTTGACTATTGTTAAATTATAATATATGTAGGCACAAGACATTTTCGATTATGATTAGTTTTTTTAAACTAACGTCGTAAAAACTTGGTTGCTCTTTTAAAAAACTTGAAAACTTAATAGAAAGTGCATATTAAGTTTTAGTGGAAAAAAATAAAGTTGAGCGTAAATTCACAATATGTTTTTATAGACGTTTGAATTTAGAATTTTGACACAATGCATAAAAATTATTAAAATTTGCAAATTCTTTAGAAATTCAAAAAACAATTTTTTTTTACATCTAAGATTTTAAAATTGAATACAAGATTCTTTATAGTTGGGCTTCCATTATCAAAAAAAAAAAATTTCTACGAGAAATTCAAATTAAATTTTTACAAGCGTTTGAGGTTGAAATTTTTACGATATTGGATATTCAATCAATTTTCTTATCCAACGGAATTCAAAAACGAATAACTGTAGGACGTAGGTACTTAAAATTTACACCATTTATTATTTTATCAATTTATATATAAGTACTTGATACAATTTTCAAAATATTTTGATTCGTTTTGAGCTGTTTAAAGACATTTTTCAATTTTTTTTCCATAAATGTCAATAAAATGTTTTGTGTTTGATAAAAAATCGTAAAAGTTTAATACAAGGCTTCTGATATATTGTTACAATAGAAGTTGAAAAACATTAAAAATACGTATGTAGGATGTTGTTTGGCAAGCGTTTTAAGCTCAAATTTTGACCAAGTTTAAAATTTAAAAATTTATAGTGTTCAATTTTGAAAACTAAGGATTTAAAACAAGGTTACTCGAGTAGTTAATTCTGGGACCAAAAAACCTTAAAATATACAGAATCACAGTTTATTTTATGGTTATTTTAATTTGAATGAAACTACAGATTAACACAAAGAATAACGATTTTAGTTATTTAAAAAAAAAAAATATTTGTGAAATTGTGTGTGTATAAAAATAGTAGAGGATATTGTTATAATTATTATATTTTATACACAACAATCTTTCAAATGAAATTTTTTAGCAAAAATGACCTTCTGTAGGTACAACTAATACTAATAGTAAAATAAATTACTTTAATCACAATAATACCATCAAATATACTAAATAACTCAGTAATATTAAGGGCTAACAGACCGTCTTCGCTCAGAATTGTTTTCGTATACATTATTTAATGATTTTATTTCATTGAATTCAAATATAACACCATCCATCACAATGACCAATTTGGGCGATTGTAAATTCTGACAGAATACCGGTTAGATAAAAAGGTAATGAAAAAGTCTAATGTAAACTCTGTCATTTTTATTTTCTCCCCTAACTCCATTAGTACTCATGTAAAACTTAATGCTACATCTCAACTAAAGAACCTCAAAAAAAGTTTAGGAGTTGGAACTGCCAATGTTCTATTCAGACCAAAGTCATGGATACAAATGTTATTAGTTTTGTTTTAAATTACGAACTATTAGAATTTTACAAATTATAAATAAGCAATGCATAAATAATACAACTATTGATACAACAACAATTTATAATGTCGTATACATTTTTACAAGTTTTTGGTATAATAACTTAATATTTGTAATTTGTATTATATTATCTTAATTCTTTTAAAATTCCAAAGATTTATATATAAATACCACACATTTGGTGTAAATAGGTTGAATTTAAGTGAAAAAATCGTCGGGAAAAACAATCCCAGTAAAAATTCCCCAATAGCATTATACTGGGGACTAACTTAATAATTTATTTTACAAATTATGTATTAAAAATACAATAAACATTGTATACTATGTTAGAAATTGTAATTTTACAAAAAAAATTGTCTTATACTTTATCTTTACATGAACATTTATTTTACATAATACACAACATTTAATTATTATTATTATAACACTAGGTATTGTGGCTGACTTGGTTAGTATACTAGGTAATCACATATGTAAAATTATACTACGGTCACATTTATTACTTTTTTTTTATTATAAAAGCCGCTAGTATAGACTATGATAGCTTCACAACATTCATTACTTACATTTTAGTTTCCATACAGTTATTACTTATTATTATTATAAAGTAGATTACATTTATATATATGTTTTAAACATAGTAATATTGCATTCTTAGGGTACAAGACAATTTATTAACATTGTATGCAATATTTATTTTATTTCTTATATATGTATTTTATCAATACTCAGTATAATGCTACTGGGGATTTTTTCAAAACCACCAAACGGATCATTAACATTTTAAAGTCTGTTAAAGTGGGAAGAAAAATGTTGGTATAGCACCTACTCACCAAAAATATAAGGGACCATCTACTACAGAAATTGTAAATTCAGGGCCCAACTGGAATGTAACCAAAAAAACATAACGTGATCTTGTCTTGCCTAATCAGTATTTATTTTAAAATATATTTTTGAAAACCATGAAGTATTATCCAAAGCACACTTCATCCTTCATAAATTATTTCATTTTAATTTTCATACTATTAAAATGGCATACAATCTTATAAACTTAAATGGGTAGACATTTATTATTTTTGTAGCTAAGTATATGACATTTTTACGTATAACATTTCAGTTAGTACCTGACAAGTACCCAACTGATATTTCTTTATTTTTATACTTTTGAATATTGATTTCTAAAAATTTTTTTTTTTTTGAATACCAGTCATTTTTGGGCCTCTTAACACAAAAAAAAGCAATCGCAGGCTAAGTTAATATTTATCCTCTTTCCACAATCATTTTTTTCCGATCACCCTTGTCTCCTGCACACCACACCAGGAGGAATAAGATATAATTGACATCCTATTTTAATTTTTGTTCTGTATTATTTGATTTGGTTGTTAATTAGATAGATCACAGAAGCAAAGATCCACAACACTGCATCTTTCCCACTAGGGGAGAGGGGTTGATTAAATCATTTTTAATAATAATATATTTATATTAGTGAATTTGTACTGGCATATGGCAAATAGCTCAAATGACGTATTATTGGACATTTAAACAGTTAGTTTTCATCCAAGTAATCCCAAAAAATGTCAGTTGAAACCAGGTATTGTGGTTGGATCAATTCAAATTAAGCTCATACTAAGTAGTAACCAATCATAGACATGAATAATTTATTTATGTCTGTTATCAATAGAAACCATAAACCACTATGTATTAATAATATATAACTACAAAATACAATTTTTAGTACTTGTGACATATGTATGACACATATAATTAATAACATAAAGTTATCTGTAAAGAAATTAATAGAAACCAATATTCCACTTACCATTCACAAGTGTATACATCATATTTTTCTTATATATAAAGATAATTTAAATTTATTCATAAAATATTATATGAAAATAAACTTAATATTAACGGTTTATAAGACTTTTGGAGTACTTTTCAATTAAGGAAATTTCCCCCCAGTCTAGTGCTAATTATTTATTATTTCATTTTAAGGAGCTGTCTGACACACCTGCTACACAACAGATGTAATTATTGATAACCTATAGGTAAAGAAAGGACACATTGAAACAAAATATGATTTCGATAAAAATATTTCAAAAAAAAGGTAGATATAAATTAACTCAGAATTATGGAAGAAGTCCAACAATTTAATTAAAGAAGTGTTTTATTTACATTCACAAGCATATTGATAGCCCTGCAAAGTTCATTCATACACCTCTAACGATCATTTTACTGAAAAAAAAAATAAAAAAATGTAATAATTGAAACATGGCAAAATTACTTATTACAGTACCTTCTTTCCAGAGGTGGCCCCAACTTTAGTCTTTTTGGTACCTCGCACCTTCTTCATCCTGTTTTTCCTTTCCTTTCTTTGTTTTCGGGTTTGAGTTTTCTTTTCGAAAAGTCCGTGCTAAATAAATAATTTGATTAGTAAATATTAATAAAATTGCTATAAAACTGTTATTACCCTTTGAAGCCTATATTTGGGTTCAAACTTTTTGGCGTGATCTAATGTGTCATAGATAAGAGCAAAACCTGTCGATTTTCCACCTCCAAAACATGTTTGGAAACCAAAGACAAATACAACATCTGGCAAAACTTTGAACATTTTCGCTAATTTTTCACGAATATCAGTTTTTTTAGGAGAAGGTTTTCCTGGATGCATGACATCAACAACCTAAATAAATAAAATATTGTTTAAAATTAATTCTAACTAAGTAAAAGATAAAATAATAACTTTTAATACAACACCAATAATTCTGGTGTTAATAAATTTTGAATACAATTTGGATTTGGAGGATTGCACACAACTGGTTTATAGAGAAAAATAAAACTACAAGTGTTTCATATTACTGGCCTGAGTTTTGCTCTAATCATACAGTATTTTAATTTACTATGGTCTATTTTCAATCTTTTGACAGCAAGCGAGTTTAGAGCTAGGTGTAATAAAATGCAACCATAACAGGTTAAAACAAACAGACTTGAGTTTTATACTGATAATCATTTAAAAACAATACAGTTAGATGAGTTCAGTTAAACAAGCTTTGGATCCTTTGAGCCAAATTGTAAATTTGTTATTCTTAACATGAGAAAATTCCCACTTAAAACGTAGAACATGTTTTTAAGTTTCGATGGAAAGAAATAGTTTTATATTTATTTTGTAATTTGAAGGAGTAAAAATAGTCTAAAAATTTAGCTCCAAAAATGGTAGTTACTATTAATAACAGAACACTCTCATTAGATATATTGCATAACCACGTTCTAAAGTTGAAAAGGTTAGGTTATAATTTATACATTCATCAAAGTTAATATTTTTGAATTTAGACAGATATTTATGGATTGGATTTTAGATATAAGAAACTGAATATTATGCTGGTGATAAGAACATTATTGCTGATGCTAAATCTATAGAATTATCAAAAATACATATTTTATAGTAAGTTATAGTTAGTGTTGATGGTATTTTTGTTCACCATTTTGGAAGATTAACGTAAGTTTAATTAGACAATACACGGCATCGTTAATTGATAGTTGAATTAATTTTGTAATTTGTATTCATAAAATTAAACTATGTATGTAAAATAGAATTTTAGATTTCTTGGCCATTGTATATTTATTGAAAATTGAATTTAAGAGTTGTTGAACCATAAATTATTTACTCACCATTTGTTTTCTGCATAGCAGTCGGTTGGTCATGAACTTGCGGGTCCGAATTGTAGCAGTAGAGGTATTGGCAACCTAAAAAAAAATTAAACAAAATTTGTTTACTGTATTCTTGCTAGGTATATCAGTTTAAAATAAACCTTCTAAAATAATAGTAATAAAGTACTATGTAAACGATTTTGTTCAATCATCTGTGTTTTTTTTCACATCCGTTTAGTCTGGCACATTTTAAATTGTACATAATGTATAATATATTTGACACAAAAATCAAACCATTATTGGCTTCACATATACACTATTTTCTAATATTAGGGCCATAATACTAAACATTGGTAGACTATATTTATTTAATGTTTAAATAAAATAACTTGAATAACATAAATTTAATGAATGCAGTATTTTTTAAGTCTCTAAAATATTCTGAACATCTAGAACATTAATTTTGTAGGTGCATCATTGAAAATTTCAAATACTATGATGAAGCCTAAGCTGTTCGATGTCTAGAATCATTTACTAATTCGATATCAGATTAAAAGAACATTTTTCAAGTTAACCAATGGGCCGACATATAAATAAATACAAGTCTGTGTAAAAGATGATATTTTTCGATTAAGGTTTTTCGAGAGATATTTACTAAAAAGTGTTAAATGAACCTCGTCTTTAACGTTTTGGGCAATTAAAATGTCAAATTCTTAAGATTAAAATGGATAAAAATCAAACGCTCACCATTTTGGCTGTTGTAAATCCGTATTCCGTAAGTTATAGCAAAACAAACTACATCGGTCACCGAATGTGAAAGAAAGATGCTATACTGCTATAGCGTAATCGTTTACTACTTCTGACCGGTGGCAATGGTACCGAACATCATGACCATAATCTTAACAAATAAATTGGATGTCTATAATCATAGCCGTTGGCTACACTGTCGATTTAAGATAGTACCACTGAATAACCAGAAGCGACACAATATACACTGGATAGAGCTTTAGGCTTTAGCGTATATCACGGGTAATCCGTGTTTGAAGCGCACCTGTAATATGTTCATGCCCGAAGTACTTATTTCTCATGCGCAGTGATGACTTCGGGCACGAACAGCTACGTTTCAAGATTTTAAACCATAGCTCTATCCAGAATTCCAGACGTGTATAATATGATCTAAGGGTATAATAGACCATGATTAAAGATATACAGGGTTGCACATCGTGTACTGATAAGGTGTAATACGAAAGACTATCGTGATAATTAATGTGTAGCGCCCCAAGCGTATATATTCCATATTATAATCACAGAACAATTCATATTTCTGATTTCATAGTTCAATGTTCATACTTCATATTATTATCAAAATAAGCAGTAAATATATTTACTAAATATTATAGTATGCTCTTTCAAATAAATGTAAAGCACTTAACTATACGCTTAAAAGTTATAAGTATTTATTATATCTTTATATGCCAATTAACAAAAAATAAGTGAACAATAACATAGTAATATTGGATTAGAAACATAAGTAATATAAAGATGATTAAAAAAACTGTATAAACATAAACTCTAGGTTTAAACAAGAATTTTAACATTTAACTAATTTAGACAATTTTTTTGATTTTCTAGATAAGTGTACTGTTTCATTCTCTTTGTAATGTAATACGAAAAAATGTTAGTTAAAATCTCAACTTTATGTATAGAACAATAAAATTGAAGCTCAAACTTATTATTAAAGAACTCATTATAAGTGAGTTCAAGAACATGATTTGAGTTAGCATGTTTTTAAAAACAAGTTTTAGATATCTTAGAATTATAAACAAATTGTTATCGGGATGTGTAAGATATCCTTTACTTTTTGCTTGAACTAAAGCAGTATCTTGACCTACTGACGTATTTAATTTCTTTAAGTCTTCAATGCAAATTAAGCATATAGTTTTGTTAACTAAACGCTTTCCTATGTATCTATTAAATATATTTATACAAATATTATTATATAATAATTTATAAAAGAAATTTAGAGGTTAGAAGTTATTACTCGGCCAAAAAAATAGACTACACAATCAAATACTGTTGAATCTGCATAATCATGGTCTAACAAAACATCATCCGAGTCCCAACATCCATCTTCAATAATTACATCAATTTTTTTTTTAATTCTTCAATTTTTAGTTCTCTGAGAAATATTTTCTGGATCGCTAGTAATATATTTTAAATCTTGCATTGATATTATATCAATTATTAGTGACATACCTGAAAGATAGATAATATCATATTAATTTTAAAATACTTCATATTTATATAAAAATAAAATAAATATTTGAACCTTCAAGTATACTGCAATTTCCAGACTTTGGAGGTTTGATTGCTGAATATACCGAGAGCATACAAAACAGCTGTAAAATAGTAGGTACAATAGAGCGGTCATTAGGTGCCGATACTTGTCTAAGAATTCCAAAAAACTTCTCTCAAAAATAAACAATTCATTTTTAGAAAATAGCAATAACAATTTGTATACATATTAGTTTATAGTTTGTTTAATATTAAATACATCTTATATTATTATTACCTCCAAACTGTCTTGATCAACTTTAGCCGTTAAGTTAAGACATAATCAAAATTACATTTGTCTAAAATATAGTTACAAATCTAAAGTGGACTTTAATGTTATCTTTAAGTATCACATGTTGTCTGTTAAAAAATCTTTTGTCTCAATCAATTTATTTTCTAAATTATTTTCCCAATCATCTAACCATACTATTGCTTGAAGTAATATCTAGAATAAATCATAATACATTTATAAAAGTTAAGCATGTTAATATGAATAAATAATACACATAGTAATACTTTTGCTAAATCATAATTAAATTATTAAGATTTTTAGATCCATCATCCAACACAAAAATAAAACAACACTTAACTTCTCAGGAAGGAGTAAATAAACAATTATCTTTTAATTTTATTATATGCAAACGCCATTTGAATAAAAAATACATTGCTCATATTATAAATAATACTTCCATTTCTACTTACACAGGCATGGACCACAGACACAACACAAATAAAAAAATCCCTAAATCTTTGCTATTTTTTTTATTCCTTCCTTTGGATAATCTTCTGTTTAACACATCAAATATATTGTTTAACATATAAGTAAATTGTATGGTTTCATCAGAATCATTGAAACATGGGAAATTTTACTGTTTATAAAATCCCATTCCTAAAGCCATTGATCTACTAAATATCTAAAAATATTTAAAATTGAAGTAACATTTTACCTATTGTTTTTGTTTTATTAGTACTAATTGTACTTGTGCTGCATATTTAACTTTCATCTTTGAAAGATTGTTAACTAAAGAGGTGTTTTGTTAATTTAGGACATACTTTTGTAAGAGAATTACATTCTATTTTGAAAATACTAAAATAATGTTCCCATCTAATTGGAGGTAATGATGGGTTTATCTAAAATAAATATTTATATGTATGATTAAAAATATTTACAAAGTAATTTGTTTTAAAATTTAGATAAAATGGAACAAATCTACTTTTCCAACCCACTCACGATTTTCAAATTTTTTTTATTCAAAAGACTTGGTTTTTTATGCTTAAAACGATGGTGTAATTTTTTTTCCCGGAAACTATTATTTTAGAAGTTATGGCCTTCCAAAGTTTGCGATTTGATGTTTATGCGCATAGTTTACACGCGAAGGACTATTTTTGTTATTTTTTTGTACTTACGAATTCTAACATGTTTAAAACGATGGTGCAATAATAATTTATTCCCCGATTTGCTATGCAAGTATGCAACTCCTCCCCATGTGGGTCACAGGATTAAGAAAATTGCATTTTTGTTGCACCGAGTCACCGAGCTGGGTCACTCGCTCGGACAATTAAAAACGAAAATATACCCGGATTTGCTGTGCAAAACCACCTTGGGTAGGTCTCGGAATTAAACAAAGTTGTTAAAAAGCAATTATCTTCGCAGGTAGATGACCGACTAATGGTTACATTATTTTTGACTTTTGTTATTCTAATATTATATAAGTACCTATATAGCATATTATGATATCGTTAATTACTTTAAGGCTATTTAATGATCAAATTATAAATAAGTAAACTAGTAAATATAATGACATATTTTTATATTTAATATAATTAAGCCACCGAACGCAACATTTGTTCATGAAATAACGGTCGTTTTAATTTTATAAATTATTTAGTACTGTAATATTGTTGTGGTTGTTTTAAGCGTTACAACAGTTTACTGGTTTATACATAAAATGAGTGAATTAAGTTTATTACAAATATTTAAATTGTTTAACTGTAATACAACTGGCGTACTCAATGAAGATGTTCAGACATTACTTCAAAATTGGAATTAAATTCCTAAAGAAGGAGTTTACTTATATCCAAGAGGGGGGCAAGAGGGCATAAATTGAAGCTGAGTCCCACAAATTCGACCATAGATGGATATAATTATTATATACCAATCATTGTGTTATTCACATTTTCACAATATTACTTACCCAAAACTGACTATAGGTCCCAAAACTTGTTAAAATACGTAAAAAAAAAATTGTTATAGGAGCTGCGCTTGGAAGTCAAGTAGCGTTGCACGCATGCGTATAAACGTAAAATCGTAAACTTTGGAAGGCTATAACTTCTAAAATAATAGTTTCCGGGGGAAAAAAAAATACACCATCGTTTTAAATATAAAAAACAAATCTTTTGAAAAAATTTTTTTTGAAAATCGTGGGGGGGTTGGTAAAGTAGACTTTAGCCAACAATTTTACCGGGAAATCATATTTATTTTGTTTTAATGTTTGAAGTTCAACTAATCTATGGACTATGATTGATACAATACGCACTCATTTTGCAACCAACCTTGGTTAGGTGCTAACTCACATTTTAAAAATGTTCTTTTCGTGTGATAAATTATAGCGCTCTTAGAAATAAATACAGGGTGATTCACCAAGCATGTTCACCCCCATTTTTCCTTTATAATAATGAATTTATTAAAATTTTGATTTTTGGAATTTTTAAACATACTCAAAGACCAATTTTCAAATTCTTGAATTATTTGTACAACCTGAAGTGTTCTATGGTGATACAAACTTCTATTTTTCAAATAAGAACCCCCTATTTTACTGCAAATTAATTTGGTTATTTTTTTTTGAAAATTTTGATGTACCGGTAATCGGAAAAAAATCCCCGGAAAAAAAATCCCCAAAGCAACTATTTATAAAATTACATAATTATAATAATATACCTAATTAGTAATTAGTATATTACAGTATATTACTTAAAAAAAAAATAAAAATAATAATAAATAATATAATATTAGTTAGTTAATTAAGTCAGATTCGGTTCAGTCGGTTCGTTTTCTTATATTGTTAGACACAGCTGTCAAAAAGTCTCCAATGCTTAATTTATCTTCACTTTGTCTTATAACTAACTCTTTCAAGCGGATGTCCATAGTAATAGTTAACAAAATAATGAGAACCACTGTTTACGGACAAATCAACCACTAGAAGCGCTGCAGACAACCACCACCATAGACCTATCAGGTCTATGACCGCCATTTTTCATGAAAGCAATTTCAGTATCTTTAACCATGTTTTATGGTGAATGGTAATATCTATTATCTACCCATTCATTGGTTCTTTGGTTATAATATTATCTAATATCTATATACATCAACATGGCATGCTCTCAGCTGCAGCCTGCAGCTATAATAAATAATATTTATAATAATATATCATGTGACATGTATTCAGTATTGTAATGATTGTTCCATCTGCGGACTGCGATTTGTTACAAGCGTTTTACTGTTTTAGCGTTTTAGACGTTTCGGATTGTCCATGTGTCAAATGTCAATGATTTATTCGAATTTGAGTAAGTGACTTTTTCTATACAATTTTATGGAATCGAGTAGAATGTAACTAGTATTTCTTATTTTGTTTTTAATTATTTACCCTCAACACGTTTTTTTTATTTTCTTCAGAAGCGACTCCAAAAACATTAGGTATAATGTACAAACATTCTATTAAAATAATTATTTAACTAATAGGTTTTAATATGTGTTTAAGTATTAAAAAGTAATTCTTAAAAAGTAAAAAATATGAGATATCCTCGTAAAGAACCTAGCAAAAGAATTATGAAAGTTTTATTTAGTGTATACCTATACATTATTCAAATTTAAATATCAGTTTTGATAAAAATTGTACTGCATTCTATTGTGTTAAATTAGAAGTCAATAACCACATTTTAGGTTATTTTTTGTTTTTATTAATAAACCTGGATTGAGTTTAGAAGCTTTTAGTCCCTGTTTAATTTGAATTTGACTGCCCAAATTGAGTTTGTTAGATATTTCTTCAAAGAAACTTGTTTCAAAATAAAATAAGAGTGGGAATTGCCAATTGGATTAGATAATAATATTATTAAAATTATGTATGAAGTAAAAGTAGGTAACTACAATTTGGTTATAACCAAAAGCTTTGGTCGAAAGAAAAATATGTTATTTACTTAAACATATATTATTTAATGACCGTGTTAGTATGTAGTTGGTGTAAGCTAGTATAGAGGATGTTATTATTTTTGTGATTACAAAGTTGTTTTGAAGATTAAAAAATGTGTATTTTATTTTAGTACCCAGTTTGTTTTAAGAATGCAAAATTAACACAAAATTAATTGTTACAAATTTTTTTTTTAGTTGTCACAAAATGTCTACACCAAATACAAAGTCAGTCCTCAATAGGCATTTTCCATTTGCTAAGAAAAAACCGAATATACCTTCTAAACTATCAGATAAAGTTGATACAAAGATAAATAAACAAAAATTGATTGAAGACAAAAGTTTCCCCATTGTTAAAACCACTGAGTCAAATCGATGTGATGTTCTAACGGAAAATAATGAAAAGGCTAAACCTGTTCAAGAAAAACTGTGTTGTAATGAAATTCCTAAAAATACTATACCAGCAACCTTTAAAACAGTTTTGTCTCAAAATGATGATTCAGAAATTTTACCAAAAAAAAACAAGTCTATTTCTCGGAAATCATCTAATGTATCAGAGGTTAGTTTAGGAGAGATCAAAAAACCTAAAGAGAACTATCAACGTTGGAATATTCCTTTCTCAAGCAAATTTAAAGGCAAAGAATTTGATAAAACACTATTGACTATGCAAGATCTAATATATTATAATCCAGTGACCAATCCTATAATCAAAGAACCTAAAGTGGAACACAAAGAAGAAGATGATCCAGATAATGATTTGTTGTCTATAGATTCCGTAAGAAAAATTGTAAATATAATTAAAATTTAAAATTAATTAGGTAATGTTGAGTCAAACTGTTCGAAAGTTAGATGATTGGCTACAATATGACACATATAACATAAAAGTATTTTATTTCTTAACATAATTTTTTCTTTACAAGTAATAAATCAATAAGTAAAAACTACAAGTCAATACAAATGTATAACCCAATTTTAAATTTAAATTTTATGTTTTACAGGAACAAAAGCCAACAGTTCTTAATAACTGTATAACTCCGTGTATCAAAGTAGGTATTGATGGCAAAATTATAATTGATCAAGAAACATTAACTTTAAATGAGACTGGTCTTGAAGAAAAACGTGAAGAATTAGCTAAATCTAAAGTTATTGAAGAATCTGCATACCATTCAAGGAGCTATTCTTATAAACGCAAAAAGGAAGCTTCTAGACAGTGGTCCAAAGATGAAACTCTTAAATTTTATAAATGTTTGATGAATTTTGGTACTGACTTTTCTATGATTCAGCAATATTGTCCTAATCGAACACGAGCTCAAATCAAGCGAAAATATAAAACAGAAGAAAAAAAAAATCTTCAACTTGTGAATGGTGCACTAACTAACACAACACACTTTGATAGTGCTAGCATTGAAGATATGCTTGAAAATGATAAAATCGAAGAAAAACTTGATAAATGTGCAGATTCAGAAGCCAACAATAAAAACATTGATCGTAGACGTCATCAAAATATAAAACGGTCAGATTGTAGTAAAATAAGCATGTGTGCCTATATGTTGGAAGAAGAAATTGTAATTAAGAATAAAAGAAAATGTCCTACTGAAATAATTTCAGCTAAGAAATTGAAAAAAGAGCTAGTCAATATACCAAGTGTAAAGAACAAGAAAAAAAACCACACACTGTCACACACAAGCTCTGAAGTGGATACAAATAAAGAATTCTTAAAACATGATATTAATGAAAATAATGATGAGAAACCTAAAGTTCGAACATTACAAGATTTTCATGAAGAATATCAGGAATGTATTACTAAATACGAAGAATCAAATAGCGAATAAAAACAAAAATATTTAAAACATTGTTGATTTTGTTACATTATGTAAATTACGTTGTTCACTAAAACTGATATTGTTACAGGGCTTATTATAATACTATTTTTAATACAATAAATGTTTTTTTTTATTTTAGATTCATAGAATTATATTTATAATTTAATGCATTGGTCCAAAAGTGGCATGCACTAATTTGTGCTGTCTGTTGTAGTGTAAAAAAAAATATTCCCACATTTGCCTGTAGAGCCTAGAGGTGTCATATAATTATAAAAATAATAACTTAAAAACTGAAATATTTTTACACATTCATTAGATGATTGCTCTATTGAATATATCATATAACCTGAGTACCTGTATGTACATTTCAAAATGCTTTAATAACATACTTTAAAATTTAAATTTAAAAAAAACCCATTTGGGGGTTTGGATAATCTGATTTGTAAAAATTTAATAATTGAGATTCATGATATATGCGTGATGCCTCTGATTTATTTATGCATAAGCATGACAAATTAAATTTAATTCCATAACATTAAACAATTTTTCTTTTAGAAGAATCTGTTGAATTCAGTACCTTTTATATTAAAGTATATTTGTCTATTAACGAATCAAAAGATAAAATTATTATTTAGGCCACAAGCACCTTGAAATCTCTTTTTATATTTTAATTAAAAACTAATGATCATTTTAATATTGTAAGTTTAAACACACATTTTGTGGTAAACACATACTATCGGTAGAAACCTAAAAGTATCTTTTTGTATTCATATAATCATATATATTGATAATTAACATCCTACTTAGCTTATTATAGGCCTATTAATAATAATTTTTTTTTTCAAGTTCTGTTTACAAACCAATCCTTACTATTTGATCCATAAACTAAAATACTTGTTTTCTTTGGAAAAAATGCTCAGGAACTGATTTTGAGTTATCATTGTAAAATATCTACCTCTTAAGTAGTGGACCCTTAATCTGCGACCACAGTCCTAAATTGGACTGTGGACCACATTTTTCTTACACTTAATAATATGCTCGTTATATAATATATACGTTTCTTAGGTTTGTTTAAACGCGGAAATGAATAAAAAAAATTTTCCTGTGTGTGCTGTTCGGTCAAACACCACCTATTAGGAACCACTACTCTAAAGCATTCTTTACACTAAATGATTCAAATTGGTACTAAATACTAATTTGCATTTTGCATAAAGGCTGAATTCTCGTGCCACCAGTGTTTAAGATTAATATACAACACAAAAATAAATAAGTTTTATTGCATAACTATTCTTTAATATTTTTTGTTACAATATAAGTTACAAAAGAAAATCATTACAGGTTCATATTCTGTTCGCAGCACCATGTTTAATATAAATATAGGTAGTTAATATTGTGTCTTGCCCGACTTGGGACCGTTCTTACAATATCAACTTTTAAGTTTTAACCGTGATTAAAACATTTTTTGTAAAATCGGCCCAGTGTTGTTTAACGCTAACCGGCTGATAACAGATTTTATAATCGGTATAATTCTGTTAGTTAAGACGTGCCCATTAACTTTAACTGGACATTGTAAGAACAGCCCTCAACCTTACAACAGTTACAACTACAAAATAATGGTAATAATATCAGTGTTGATAGTGTCATACAACACATATATTTTTAAAGAAAATTCAAACGTTACATTGTGTTGAATAACTAATGAAATTGGCGGTTTCAAATTTTTTATAAGTAACGGAATTAGAAGAGTTGATTTGTAAATGTTTCAATGAAATATTATGCCTTAATAAATTGTTGAAATTATACAAGCACAAATCAATTTATTGAAATTGAAATTATTTGAACACTACTTATGCATAAAATAATAGGTAAATAAACAATTTTTTTTTTATTGAACTTAAGCCCAGCGACTAAGGCCATTAGCTGTTGTAGGGGTTATGAACTGTGGTAGAGGTAAGGTTGGTACGGTAGGTCATTTTTACGATTGTTACGGTAGGTAGCAAACATGTGTATGTGTGGCAAGATTTTTAACTACTATAAACCCCGGGTGGTCACCCATCTGGGAGCACCTAGCTGTGGCAGTTACCCCCAGTCGCGGAATGCATCCAACGCGCCACGCCAAGCCACCAGAGCAAATTTAAAAATCTTCTTATTTGATATAAATTAATCCTTACTTACACTTTTTCATTAATTAGTTTATTAAAAAGATAAAAATGTACAACATAAAATAAAGTCACAATTCACAAAATCTACATCAAATAAAATGTTGAATCTAATATTAATAAAACTAAATAAATGTAATATTGTCTTCAAATGTAGTTACAATTTGTATAACCTTTAATACGAGTACTCAGAACAACATTTATAAAATATTATATATATACATGAACACATATTTAAATTCAATCAAGTATAACAAAAAATGAATAATTTTCTACTTAAGTATACCAATTTATTATACAAATTAAAAAGTAACAGCAGTTTTAAAATAAAATATTTAAAGAATACATTACATCAATTTGTTTTTCGTCAATTAGCAACATCTGCAACTGTATGGCCAAATTTAATTTAAAACAATAACCTTATTCACTCATGAATAGGCACAAATAATAGGGGGATAATGGGACTAATTGTTTTTTTTTTTTAGTAAAAATGTTAGGCTTCCTTGAAATGGACTTCTGCCAATGTTCATGATTAATTTTGAAAACTTTGTTGAGTGGTTAAATAACAATGGTTCCGCATAGTAATTTGTAATTTAATTATTCTTAAATTTTGAAATTTTGTGTCTGCTTTTGTAATAAGCAATAATATGATACAATATTTAATTTTAAGATTAAATTAGTACAGTCAAAAATAGTAAAAATTTAATTGGTTTAATACAAAATACAAATTGAAATGCGTATACTAAAGGCATGTGGCAGTGATTTATTCACATAATATAATAGTAATGACATATTATGTGAGTTAGATTTTACAAATTCTATGGAAGCATGTTTGATGACAGTATTTTTTTTTTTATTGTATTAATTTACTGTAGTCATTTTAATTTTTAATAAAAAATATTTATTTATAAAACATGTATATTGAGTTGAAAATCTTGTATTAAAATTATTAATTTTGATGGATTAAACATAATTTTAATCCTATCTTGCTTTAACCTTTGATTTAAGATTGAATATGGTTACAACAAAATAATTGGTATTAAAAACCAACATTTCACATAATTTAAAAAACCTTCCATTAACAATAGTTTAACTCTTTTTCTTAACCAAATAAAATGTAACTAACATTTCTATCTATCTTTGAAGACATCTGCTTTTTAAGAGGTTTCACACTAGTACCACATAATTAGTTGTTTGTTGTGTGGTTACGAAATTATATGGATAAATGGTTTCAAGTGGGAAAGAACCCATAATGCCACAGGTATAAATATAAGCCAAATTTTCAACACAAAAAGATAATAGTAAGAATCTGATAAAACTATACTCTGTTCCTAAAGAGAAGACACAATATTTTGTGCACATCGAATAACAGTTGACGCGATACAGACCCTTACTAGCCCTATCCACAAGACTTTAACTTAGTACCTGCAATGGTTTGTGACTCGGCAGGTGTCACTGGCGGCACTGATGTTTACACATGCCGGGCGGGTATTAAGTGAGAGATGCTCGTTGCCATACAATAACTGGTCGCCACCTCATGTCTTCTCTTTTGGAACAGAGATTAAGGTGGTAAATTCCCGAGTTCTTATCCGTATGAAACAGCTTTTAACAAACAATTTGGAGTCCTCAAAAAATAAAATAAAAATTGTTTAGCCTTATCACAGAATATAAAATATACAAGCTTATTTTTAACAACCCCTCAACTAATAGGAATGTAAAAAATATTATTTACAATACTTCAATATTAAAGTCCAAAATGTAAGTAAAATTTTGCTCCCTATTTTAAGGAATATATATAAATTATCACAATTTATTATTTTTGGTTTAATTTAACTAAAAAATTAATTAATATGTGTTTTTAGCCAAGTCCAAAAGCCATGAACAAAACCATACAAACGCAATCGGTTTGATGTTATTGCATGCTTAGTGTTCATTAACATGGTTATATATCAGGAAACCATTGGATGACTGGTTGCTGATGTAGAATCATCATCAAACGGAAAATCATCACTAATCCAATCTCCTTCGTCAGACATTGTTATAGATGTATACACCATATGACGACGTTCAGCAGCAGACATTGAAAAATGACTGATAGACAAATATAAAAAAAAAAACACATAGGTCAGTGTCTGAACACTTCACCGGTATATCAAAAATACAAACACACAGTAACACAATATATTTTTTTTTTTAAACCAGTAAACATGCTCTTGTAGAAAATTAATCAATCAATTAATAAGAAGTAGCAAGCCATTAATTAGTAAATACAAACTAATTATGATATATTTTTATATATACATTAGAAAAAGATGAAGTAATTAACAGATAATAGTTGGTAAAATAATTTCTAGTTTTAAATTAATATTCTCATTCCTCAAAACTACATAAAAACAACAGTTTTAATTATAGAGTAATCACAAATCAAAATCCATTTGCAAGATAGGCATTTTATCCATATATTTATAAGAGACTCCAGTGTGATAAAAACAGTTTATAGAAAGTCTAGAACTTCACAAAAGCCAAAATATGAACATGAAAGGTGTATGTAAATCAAATAAGCAATAAAAAATAAACGATTAAATAAAATTGTACGGTATTAATTATATTTAAGAACATAATATTTATAAAAACTAAAATAATATATATTTAAGTGTACATGATCAGTTATCAGATTACCTGATGACCGCTTGATGATGATCACTTAATTTATCACCACCTGATTTTTCCAACATTTTTTCAACTTCCATTTGTGTATTTTGGTGGATGTCGCAAGTCTAATAGATAAAAAGAAAGTACATAAAAAACTAATATTTAAGCAAAATATTAACTAAAACAATGAATACATAAAGGGTAATGGCATGATAAACTTGGTACAACACCAACCCATAGGTAAATTTTATTCACAATAATTGATCTTTCTTAATTAAGGTAACATTTCATGTTTTTAATTAAGTCACAACAGTTCTAAAATGGAATAACTTTTGAGAAATGAGAGTTTTTTTATTTTTATTTATCAAATCTATGAAAATATGTAATAATTTTAGGTTATTATAAGATACATAATAAATTTATTATTTAATTTTATTTTTAAATACTCATCAGTTGTTGATAATCTGGTTAGTTCAGAAGTTACAAAATAAATATATGTTGTCAATCATATATTGTTATAATAACCAATTTAGTAAGTTTTTATTAAGTATTAATTTTATAATTTATATTTTTTGAATCGTAAAACTTGAATAACCTGTCAAGTATTTTGATTTTTGAATAATATATGGCTTTGATACAACTTTTTTGTTAGTAAAAATAAAAAGTATCAAAATACTATCTTCAGTGAATAAATATATATTTTATTCACTAATGGCATACAGAAAAAATGTGTTGTAACAACACTAAAGGGTTGAACTAATTATAAAAAAATAACGATTTATTATAACAATATTGAAATAGTTTTGGATTGATATTAATTCTATTATCTCATTACACATTACTTAATGTGTATTATTTGAATATTATTAGTTACGTGATTCATTACCTAATCATACTCAGTCAATTATTGTGATATTGAAAATAAAATAATAATAATAATTAAATATTTAAGATCAATTTGATTGCGAAGACTTGTTTATCCAATACCCCTTAAACATAAATTAATCAACCTATAACACTAAAATCAACTAACCTAATATCTAAACTAACAAAACTAAAATTATATTTATGAATGATTTTAGAGTCCAAAAATTATTTTAACTTCTTAGAAATTACAATGTTTTAAAGCATAATATGTTATATTATATCATGTTACTAATAATGTCAATAGTTAAGAAAAATAAAAAACCAGTTATATTTATTTGTTTTTGCCCACTGATCTTGTCTAACCCAAATTTATTTTAAAAATAACCATTATATATTATTAAAAACTTAAGACTTAAATTAATCCATCCATAAACATAATTTTGGTATATAAAACATTAAAAAAATTACAGCATTTAAACACATTGTTATAGCTAAAGTATATGATAATTGACACACATTATAAACATGTACTTAAAATAATACTGAGAAAGTTTTGATTGAATTATAACTACTAATATCCTGAACTTTATAAATTATTTAATATAATTAATTAGAATACTACTTATTTCTACAGGGTACAACCAAAGATTAAAACTGTAATATTTTATTTTACCTAATTTAAATCTAATGTGTCACACAATTTAATACAATATGATTTATCAACTGTCTCCAAAAGCTAAAAACAATGTTTTCTTTGTAATAAAACAATAAAAATAAATAACTATTACTTAGAACACTTAGTTCTGTTTTTTAGTAGGAACTTTTCTCCTTAAATATAAATTGACACAAAAATCATATGTTATGTTAAGTTAATAATAGTAATGTATTTATAAAACATTTATATTATTAATTACATCAGATATCAGATATTTTTCATAAATAATGATTTATACATTCATTATTAATATTGTTTATTCTTCTAAAGAAGTCTAAATATCTGGGTTATACCATGATTACTGTAACCCACAACACTTAAGACACTGACCCATAACAAATAATATCTATTTCAATAAAGAAGTAAAAACAATATATTTCTAATCAAATATGAAAAAACTTAAAATGGAACGCAACAGTAACCATTTTTTTCTAATTTTCATTTATAGGCTATACTAGGTTCATAATTACTTCACAGTGATTAAAACACTTAAATTCACATGCTAAGAAAACTCCAAATAAAAATACCACCCACTTACAAAATTTAACATTTTTATAGGCGAAATACACATTTCTGAAGCACCACATAATTGGCTCCTTAATAATTATTAAAAGCATAAAGAATTAATCAATTAAATACTTGTTAACTTGTAACATAACAAGTGGGAAATTTAATTAATTGTAAACCAATATTTTAAAAAAAATATTTAATGTTGAAAATGTTTAAGTACTGATTTTGATAATAATTATAATATAATATAACATTGTAGGGTATAATATAACATTGTTTTAAACAAAATGAGCTATTTGTATTAATTAATTTTATTTATAAGAAAAATATACAATCTGTATAAAATAAAGGATCTAGTTGGTATTTTAGGGAATATTTAGACAGTACCAGTTTATTCAATTTAAGTTTGTCATACAGTAACGGCAAGTTGGAATATTGAATTTTAAGTTAATAATAATGATAAATTATGGGTCTAATGTTAGGTAAAATTAGTTTAACCCACCATCCATATCACTAATAGAAAAACAAATTATTAACAGTAAGATATCCTAGGAAATAGGAGGCAACTGCTAATGCCGTTTGCTCAGAATAGTTTTTGGTATACAATAAATTATCAATAAATTGAAATGTACCATATCTATTAGTTATTTACCTAATAAACAAGTACATTTGAAACCTACTATACAACTAACTTAACTTCCCCAGTATTTTCTTGTTAAAAATAATACCACAATACAACACAAACCATCTCTCGTAGTTCATATCATTAATTAATTTGCTTAAAACTTAGAATATAGTAGATATTAGAAGTTGCATAAAAATATATACTATATTTATATTTTTTAAATGCATAGTAATAGATTTGTACATCAAGTTCTAAGATCTAATTAGATCAGAGAAAAGTTTATTGTGTCATGCACATGTATACGTAGTGGTTATATTTCCATTTGAGTGGCGAAGCGTTTATTTTGGTTAGTGAAATGATGACTGTATCACATAATGATCACAATACAGTAATAAACTTATATGTAAAGTTATTTTTCTTTAAGATAGTATAAAAGAGAGAATGGTGGAAAAAACCATTTTTCATTATAACCCTTTGTGATTAGCGAGGATAAAGAGTATATTTTATATGTCGGTCAATGCCATTCAGAAATTGTTGAAGTAGATTTGTTATTTATTGTTTGATTATTATTTTCCTAATTCAAATTTCCGTTACAATTTAGGCTTGTTTAACTGTAGCCTAATTAGTTGGCATGGCGCTAGATTATAATTGCAGTCAGAAGGTAGGGTGACACACAGATAAGCAGGGTTAATAATATACATTATAGTAACTAGTTAATACTTGTTTTTGAAGATTGGAGATTTGTTAGTGTTTAAATACTAACTCTTAAAGTTGGTACAAATCAAATTAAAATCAAAAATTTTGAAAAAGTCTAGAACATAACAAGAATATAAGAGGCAGCCACATAAAAAGTAATTTCATTGTTACATTTTACATTATATTTTACAATTTATTCATACACATAATTTTAGGTTTTAAATTTATTTATTTTGTAAGACCAAATATTTTTATCAGAAACCATTAGTCATAATTTAACTATTTTTATGAAACTATCCACCACTATTTTAAAAGTATGATAATTTTAGTTTTATATAGTATTTTGATACGGTTTACTCATTTTTTTTCTAACATCCCATGGCAAACATTTTCATGAAAATAAAACTTGTGAACTTGGTATGATTTATGAAATTAAAACTACATCTTCATACTATAAACTAACACAACATTAATTAGTGTGCGTAATTAATGTGCGTTAAATTTTAAAGTAGTCATAATTGTAAAGACCTATTGCATCTTTAATTTAAAGGCAAGTGAACAGATAAATTAAAAACATTATACATAAGCACTTTTAAAATCATTTGCATGACTCATAAAGTGTTAAAATACATTTTCTCGTATAAATACTTATATTTATATCTTAATAATTGAATATGTTACTTTTGATTGTTCTTCGTCAATGTCTGGCACTTCCAGGTGAATTTTCAGCTGACATAACTTTTCAAGCACAGCAATACCTTGAAAATAAAATAATTATTGTATACTTTATATACTTAACATTAACATTAATTAAGATGTATATATAACATACAATTTTTAAAAATAGTTCTTACCTTCGTCTCTGTTGCTGCTGTATTTACATTCCCAAGCATCAAAAAGCATATTATAATATCTAGAACCTTCAAAGTATTGATGATATTTAAAAGATGAAGTGGTTGGAAATACTTTTTGAAACCTAAAATCATACAAAACTCAGAAGTATACAGTTATAAATGTAGAAAAAAATAATGTAAAAATTAAATACATACGAGCCAATTTGTGTAAGTTCATCTTCATAAATGATTAGATGCCGAACATCATCTGGCAATAGATCATCTAATATGCTATCAATATACTAGAAAAAATTAAGTTTATAATTAATTGATACTTTAAACAGTAATTAATAATTTAGTACTTCTATTCTGGATTCAGCATTTGTATAATATTCTTGTTTTTCTTTTTCTTTAGCAGATAAATTAAATGTATATAATCTCTTATCATAGCATAGTGGTGATTTGACTCCTAACATCTTGAGTAAAGTATTCTATACAAATTTTGAATTAAGTAAAAAAATGTAATGTTGGTTGATTAAAGAAATTAAAAGAAACATATTTGTACAAGCTATTATAATTAATAACTCACGTGTGTACTTTGAGACATTTTGTTTGGGATATGATAGCCAACCATATTCATTAGGTCTTTGACTAATGGTCCCTTGACAGCCAAGTCAAGCGGAGAAGATGAATGCAATGAAGGCGATATATTGACCTAATATTGAATATAGAACCATTCAATAATTTATCATTCAATTTTACAAATGTGTAATTTTAATTACCTCTAATATCCAAGGTTTAAGATATTCATCAAACAAAACATCTATTCCAAATAATTCGTATGCGTTGTATCTATTACTCAGATTTGAACGACACATTTGACTCATTGGTGATTCACCACTTATAACAGTTTTTACAACCAGATCTTCTAAGCTCTCCCACAATTTTTTAACGTCAACATTGCGTTCTTTTTCCATATATGTCCATAGTGATTTTAATGTCCTAAGTTATTTTAATTGATAAATAATGATGAAATAATATATCATTTAAAATACAAATCCCAACATTAAATATAAAATAAATATACTAAATCCAATATATTTACCATTTATGACCTTGACATGCATCAGCATCTTCATTTTGAGTATACTGACTACTAAGTCTGTTAATACTGTAGTTGGTCAAATGCATATATCGATCACATAGAGTAGTAAGATCAGATGAATACTTAACTGAAACATTAAAAATAAATAAGTGATAGTTTCGATCATAGAATAACAATTATTATACCAGAAGCAAATCGCACAAGGCCATTATCATATAAATAAAGACGAAGTGGATTGATTGAAGTGATGAGTATATACAGTCTTAAGTCAAATTTGGTGTCATTGATTAGATATGGATTATCTATGTACCTTTGTACAACCAAAGGTACTTTCTTTGGTATTTGACTCCATTTAGATATAACACGAATTCCAGTTCCTCTAGCAGATGCTGGCTATAAATAATATAAATTTAAGATATTAATTTAATCATTATGTTAAAGAACAATAAAAATTACCGGTTTAACAATCCATTTATCTTCATCATTTTTTTCCCAAACTTGTCGTAAAATTCTAGCTTCTTGAGGTAGTATATATGATGTGGGTATAAAGCCAAAATTTTCTTTACCATATTTTAACATTAATCGATGCAAGTTCTTCCACAGCCTATCTTTGCGACCAATTTGAAAAGTACCCGGAAAATGGTTAAGTTTTTGCTGTTCCCGAAGTGTTTTGAAACACAGAGATTTCATATGTTTACCCCAAGTTCCAACCCAATCATTAGATTCTTAAAAAATTATAACAAGAAAAACAAAAATTAATTATTATTATTAACATTTATATTAAAAAAAGGAAAAAAGTAAAGGACACAGACTAGGTAACATCATTAATTCATTAGGTAGAGGAACTACACCATATTAAGCATCAACTGGGAAATAGGAGCTGTAACACCACAGTGATTTTGTATTGAAATACTATTTTGATTAGATTGAATAGTTATGACAAAAGGATCAGTTGTATTTATAACCGAACTATGCTCACTTCTAACAAGTTTAAAACCACTATTTTGAATAGTTCGACGTACAACAATTGGAGTTATAGAACTTAGTTTCCACTTTAATAACTTTTGCAAAGATAATGGAAATGATTCACCTGTAATAATAATTGTTGAAGAATTAGAATTAATTTTTATTTGTGAGTATTAAATAAAAAGATGATAAATCAAATACCTTTAATATCATGAGAAGAAAATCTTATGTAAGGTGGCATATTAGAAAATAAACTAGGGCGTAATGCTGAATGATATTCAAAATTATCAATTTGTATTTGAGTACCTGTAATATTTTTGTATTGAAAATTATCATTATACAAGTATTCCATTTATTTTTATTATTCAATTTGCATTTGAAACTTATAATACCTGAAAACAAATGGTCAAAAGCTAATTTATTTGGTTCATCAGTCATAGTATCTTGTTCTATACTCTTATTAAGGATTTGCACTATTGGAGATTCTAAGCTTTTTTGAATATCTATTATAAAAACAGTATATAAATTAAAATAAACAAATACGTAGTATTATGGCGAGTTTCAATTAGTATTTACTTTCAGATGTTAAGTCCAAGTGTGAATCATGTGAACTGAAATAAAATAATTCAATAATTGGATTTTAAAAACAAATACTCAATTTTTTAATTAATTGTATTCTTACTTAACAGGAAACACAGATGTGTTGTTTATAGTATCAGTTCGCCTTCTAGTGTTAAGAGCTAATGTTTTACTATTTTTATCAGAAAATATTGATTTTTCTTTTTCGTAGATATCACTATGAAGTATTAATTCTGGTTTTGGACTTGTTTGTTCATGAATTAGTTTATCTTCTTTAGTAATCATCAATGATTCTTTTACTTTAGATGTATCTTTAACATGTTTCATTGATTTAAATATTTCTTTTGATTCTACAGGCATAAATGTAGCTATTCGTACATGGTTGGCAATTGTTTTTTGATTTGGAATGTCCATGAGATCTTTATTCTTTGAATTTGTATTATTCAAATGACCATTTATGGTTAAAGATGAGCATCCTATCTTTTGCATACAATTTGTAGAAATAAGAGGTTTAGGTGGAACCGTTGGTAATATCTAAAATATTATTAAATATAATTTAAAATACAAATAGATAAAAAAATATTTATACTGACACACTTACTTTCCGCTGGCGATGAACAGGGGGTTGTCTTATGTGCACATCATACTTTTTAATCGGTGTATAATTAAATGGATCAATATTTTTGTACTCCTCTTGATCCTCGCAGTTCTCATTTTCTTCCCATTGTCTTAGATTATTATGATATTGAAAAACATCATTGCGTCTATCATTGTGTTCTTTTTCATACATAGATTGTGTTGCATAGTCTTTCTTTTTGTTTCCTAAAAAAAAATTAGGTTTTTTACTATGTTGAGGTATTGTCTATTTAATTCATTTTAAAAATGTAATCTTTTCTGTTTTTAAGATTACAATCCATTTGGCAGATTATTAACCATTAACCAACAAATCAATTTTAAATAATAATTTTTTAATTAACTAATTAAAAACCACTTATCCTACTTACCTAATGAATGAGGAGATCTAGATAATGCATTTGAGTAATTTAAATTCTCCAATGTAGGATCAGTATCCAAAATAGGATAAGGATTTAATTTTAGCAGTCTTTCTGAACTATGGTCCATTATTTGATGCGAGTTGGTACGAATAGTTTGTAACCGATCCATAGGACACCACCGTTCTTTAATCCCATCTGATGAAAATGCGTTATGTTCTTGATGGGTATCAAGTGGTCGGGATCTCTTAATTCTATTCATATGTACATTGCATACGGGACAAAAACAATTTTCTGGTACAATTCCGTCATGCTCAGAATTATTGATCATCTCTTTGGTTAATAATGAGTATGATTTATTGTTCATTTTCTACTAACTTGTAATGGTATTATTACAAAATAACTTTTGAATTTGCCTGTAAAAATAAAAACATATTTTAAAAATTAAAAAAAAACATAATACAAATATATAAGGCCACAGAATTATATTATGATTCCGGTTATAATTCTATACCATTTAACACCACCATATAAATACATTTATTTGAAAATATGTTATTGATAGAGGAGTGTAAGTTAAGATATATTTAAGATAAATGAGGTCAGTAGTTAGATAGTGGCATGTGTATAGTATACTTGGCACAATGTTAGGATACTTTGACATATAGAAGAACTCTACTCTGCTATCATTTATAGAATGACATTAAAAAGAAGCTATAGTTCAAATTATTTAAAAGGAAAATATCCTCTGCAATTCGTTAAAATATTTGACAAAAAATAATTATAGAACTGTTGTATTTAATCCTATTAAATACTCAGTAAAAAACAAATTAATATAAATACAATTCAATTGAAAAACATTAATATCTTTAAATTATTAAATTTAACAAAACATCATACCTAATATACTTGTATATACTCAATAATGATACTCAATATAAATAGAAGTTTAAACAAATTGAATGATCATAATTTAAAAAAAACGTATATATTCAAACTAGTCTTTTAGAAACAATCTATCAATTTTAGAATCTTTTATTTAATTTGTATTATTAATATACTTTTATACATATAGCTATGTAGGCAAGAAGCATCACCTCCAGAGTAGGGTAGTTAGGTATAGTTATACTATATAGTATATAAGATGTTCTTTAAAGTTTAAGGTTTCTAACCTTTAAAACTGAATTACTATGTTCAAAATTAATTATTTTTTTAAAATTTCAATTGAGAAAAAAAAGCCATTAATAATTATAAAAATTGAAAACATTCTTATGATCTATACTTTAAGTATACAGTATTTTTTTTGAATTAGTTACGCAGATTTGAAGTTAAGCTCAAAAAAAAAAGCTTTTGGAAAAAAATAATATGTTCCTTGGACTCATATTTAAAAAATAAAACTGATTTAGTCAAATCCTTTTAATGTTTACTTAACTTAAGTTTATTTTACTTAAAAATAAACTTTGTTTTGGTTTAGTAATTTAACTTAACTTTTAATAATTGATAATTAGTTGTACTTTAGCAATGCTTTATTATGAGTTGTTAATTTTTTTTCAAAACACAAATTCACTCCTCACAATGTTATTTATTATACACATTAACATGGTACATGTGCGCCCATGATATATTTATAAAAATAGTTTTGGGGCGAAGTTAGATTTAATTAAGTATAAGAATAAATGAGAAAGGATCCCTCATTTGTATTAATCAGATACTAGTGTGTAGTACACCAAGGGTAGGTGAATAATAATATTTGATAATTATTTATTATACAGTCAAAATTGGTTAACTCAAACTCTTTTTAACACTAAACAGTCAATACTTCAAACTTTTTCCTGATCCCTAGATTTTCCTATTATTTTACAAACTTTTTGGTCGGCCTGATAGTATTATATTAATTAGAAGCATTATCTATCTACTTTTGAAGATTTTAAAATTCGCTAATAAACAAACAAAAATAAACGTTAATGTAAATTACTAGTACAACCTTTGTGTAAAGTGTGACAATTATACAATATTAAAACGTTGACTATAGCTCATTCATATGCTACTCAATAACATTAATATTGATTTATACTAGAATTTAAATTAAACATTGAGTAGTCACCACCATGCCATCATAAAAACATAATCTCAACTTAAAAAGTAAAAACTGTTTGGGTAGTTAATAAATGTTATTAGATATTCTAAAAAAATACTTAGGTATCCTCTCAGAATATTACCTATAAGGTTAAAACTTATAAGCCTATAAGTTACAAATAATGATATCTAGGAACTGATTAAAGAATAGAAACTCAAAATAAATGTTATTTTAGTGAAAAACAAGATTCAACATAGTTTAATCTGAATGATTTTCTGATATGAAAAGATTATAAAAGCAATTTTTTTTTAAATTATACTAAAATTTAATTGCATGTTTAACAACTGAATAAAATATAGCCGCTTTGATATAGAAACAAATAATTATATAAAACCAAAATATATTAACTGAAACAAGTTTTTATTTACAAGTCCATGTATAGATTTTATAGGCACAAATTCTAAACTGACAATTTATATGAAAAATGAATTGATGAAAATAATATACTATAAAGTATAACGCCGTATACAATTGTATGCAAGTAATAATAATACGGTAAAAAATAAAAAATACAATCGGAATTGAACGGTACTAAATAAAAATTCAATTGGAATTAGACGGAGAAGCGTATGAAGAAAACTCACCGTGAATACGATGACGATAATAATATGTAATTATAATATTAACTATATTATAACGAAGACGACGAGTGCGGAGGTTGACGATGACCACGACGGTAGACACGAGTTATAGCTGAGCGGAGCAGTTAATATATACCTATAGTAGTTATTTTATTATTATGGTCACGACGCCCGCCAAACAGGAGACATTTCAAACGATGGGTGAACGGTGGTCGGCAATCGATTCGAACGTGGTCGGAGACGGCGAAAAACGTCGAATGTAATAATATACCGTAGTGAGTGATAAGTTGGCAATCTCCCTGAGTGATCGCAATCCGTAATGATGAATTAACAATATTATAAAATTATACGCGCAAAACGCATTCGGCAACTCCCTCCCATGGACGGCCTCGGGGAGAGGAAAAAAAACGTTGGCGACGTCGTTCACTGCTCACGTGCGAACTGTGACCGACGAGCGCTACCCAGTACCCGCTGGCCACCGACTAGTAACTAATAAGTAAACACTGTGCGGCGAGCGCTGGCCACTGAGGCAGTGAGGCACCAGTTTGCTTGGGCTGTGGCCCGCGGGCTGCGAGCAGCGCGAGTTACACTGTGGTTACACCGGGTTACACCTATGGTAGCGACCGCTGACTAGCGGACTTGTAGACGAACTGACGAGTGGCGACCGCGAGACGACCGGGTGGTATACGACGTCGTCGTCCGAAAATTGGTTAGTCGCGGGGTGGTGTAGAATTTTTTTGTCCGTTATTCTCGGATTATATTGTCGACAACACTAGTCTATCATTATTAACATTTGAAATATATGTTTAAGACGGTCGTGCCTCGTGCAAACTAGTCGTAACTCGTAATTCGCATTTCGAAGGCGTTGTTGTTCGCGAAGTGTGTTCTTGACAACATTTACACGAGGGGTTTGCCGATACGAAGAAAACTTTTGTCCATCCATTATTATTATTATTACTATTACTTAACTGACGTATTCTTATTAAGACTGATACAATGCGCTCGCAGAAAAAAACTATATTTTCGTGAGGTTATCGGTGTGAACATAGATACGACAATGCGGCGCTGAATTGTAATCTTGGGAGCACCGGGCACGTTGACGTTACGTAATAATTAAATAATATAATATTCATCAAACGACAATCATCATTCACATTTCATTATTTCAAGTCACCGCCGTCGTTGCCGTGCTCAATGTCCAATGCACATAATATAACTAACATGGCAATAATACGTGAAATTGTATAATATTTTATATCATTATATTAATATTATGATATCGAGGACTGAACCGAATCATGATTGATCAGTGACCATGGTTTCCGATCAATACGGGCTTCAGACGATTATTATTTATTATTGACAAATAAGATGAATATTAAAAACCTTAAACAATGAACACCTTAATTTATTTTTATTTCGCTTTTAGATGTCTCGGAAAAAATAATAAATAGTTTGTACAGCAGTGCAGTAGACACTACTTTATAGAAAGGCGGCGATCAAATTAAAAGTATTTAATATGATTGTGTAGTTGTGTACATGAATTAATTATGAATAATATAATGCATATTTAAGCAGAAATGTTCAAAACTCTGCAAATTCACAAAGCTTGATATCGATTTTACATAATACTTATCTTATTAGTTATTAATTTCATTGTATTGATATACAACAGACTATACAAGTCACCCACCAGACTACTACAGTTCATTACAACTGTTATCCTAATCTTGGTTATCACCAACCTCGAATTCCCCGCGTATTTTGAAAATAAAATCATTTTTTAAGGCATTTCCTAAAAAATGTAGTACAAACGGCAGTGACTAGTATAAACGGGTAGTCGGAAAAGTCCAAAAAACAATTGAATGTGAGGTGTAATAGTGTAATACATCAGACATGCTCACCCTCTTTTTTTTCTTCAAATTTATTAAATCAATAATACAAATTATTCAAAATCTGATTTTTTTAATTTGTAAATATACTTTAAGACTATGTTTTTAAATTTTTGATATTTTTTGTACTACTTAATGAGTGTCCTGGGAAGATACAAACTTCTGTTTTTCAAATGAAAACACCGCTATTAAACTATAAATTATACAGTAGATAATTTTTATGAAATTTTTGACGTATTTATCAAAATCCAAATTCATACGAATAGTTTTCGAGTTATTTAACTTTGAATTCTAAGGATAAAATATCCATAGTTATGGGCTTATAAGAAATGGTGATTTCAAAATGTAAGACATTAATATTAATCTATCAATATTAATAATTTTTAAAAATGGCCCAAGTATAATAAACACTAGATCCAATTTTACGTATGTTTTATATTTATGCAAAACCAGTTTTAAAGGCTATTATCCATAATATAAACTTTTTAATAACTAAGAAAGTACTCATTTGAATTTTGAATGTGGTACATCAAATTTTCAAAAAAATTATCCAAATTAGCTTCCAATAAAAGAGAGGCTCTCATTTGAAAAACAGAAGTTTGTATCACCACAGGACATTCCTTAAGGGGATTCCACACTATCGCTTTTTAGAGTAAAATAGACCTATACGCGTTCCAGCGTAGTAACTTGAGTTTTAATCCTATAATAATTTTGAAAACATATTTGAATTTGTTATGAAGTCTATTTCGAATCCTTCGAAACATAATATCAAAAAAATGTTTTTTGAACTATTTAGGTTCATTTAAATTTTTAAGAATACAAGATTTTTTTTCTAAATTTCAAGTGAGGTTTCTTCTTTTTAAGCATAACTAATTAAAAATGAGGCTCGAAGGATTCAAAGTTGATTGAACAACAAAACAATATTTGTTTTCAAAATTATTATCGGTGTAAAACTCAAGTAGTTATGTTGGAATTCGTTTAGGTCTATAATTTACAATATTTCACCATGAAAAAGATTCGTTGTTAGACATAATGTGACATGTGCATGCGAGTGCGCAACGCTTGTCTAGCTCGCCGTCAGATAATCGACAGCCTCAAACTTTGGAAGAATTATTGCATTACGCCCGGACACTGGATGCGAAGGAGTATTAAAAAGTCTACTCTACTTTCCAAATCTCGATACCAAGGCCTTGGAATATGGTAGGGAACACGAATATCAAGCCAAACGAGATTTAGAATTAGCATTAAACATTAAAATTAACGATTGTGGATTATTTATTGATTCTAATGATGTTTTCTTAGGAGCTACTCCTGATGGATTAATTGGGGCAAACACTTTAGTCGAGATAAAATGTCCGCATTCGGCAGAAAATATAGATCCCGATGAAGCAATTATTCAAAAAAAAATTAATTTTTGGAAAACTAACAAAAATAAAGAAATTACGGACATGGATAGAAATCACAAATACTACTACCAAGTTCATGGTCAGTTACACATTACTAAGCGAAAATATGGAATTATAGCTTGTTGGACTAGAAAAGGAATCAATATGTATGAAAAAATTTGAAAGAGATGATACTTTATGAATTGTGGCAGACAAAAATGTTTCCTAAACTAAATGATTTTTATACCAATTGTATATTACCGGAATTAGTAGATCCAAGACACCCAAGACCAATGCCTATTCGAAATCCAATCAATATACTGGAAGCGAAACGGAAAAAGATCGAACGTAAAATTAATGAACAACGTAAAAAAAAAGTTTAACAATAAATTAAAATAATTTAAAACCAAATTATTATAAATAAGTAATAACAAAATACATTTTCGTATTTATATTTAAATTATTATTAATATTTCTATTATAAAAATCGTCAATACAAATACATAATAATATGTAAACATAATAATTTTGCATTGTAAATTGTACAACAAAATATAAATATATATATTATAATCTCATGATAATTTTTAATAAAATTATAGGAGACGAAGAATTCAGTGTTCCAAAAAATTTTTTTATCAAAACCTTATGGATTTGATACAGAAGTAAAAATAGGTTTAAAATACTTTGAAGTGTGAAGTACAGAAATACAGAATGAACCTTTGACAAAAAAATATTTCTATATTTTATATTATTATTTTTTCACTTTAATTTCATTTTATTATAATTAATTACGTTAATTTGTGAGTTTTTTAATATTATAATAAATAATATATAAATATTAATTATTGATAATTAATATGACAAATATGACAATACGTAAAAGTAAAATAAGTAATAACTAATAACGATAATAGACCGGCACATTCAGTTTTAAATAATCATTAGAGCGCCCGTATCGATAAGAACAATAAAAATAACATTAGACGCAACACGCTGCACGTCGGTAATCGGTGGTGGATCGATAGATGGGCCGCGGTACAGGGAAGTCACTCACACTAATGATTATTTACTAGTTTACTACACATACACGCCTTGCACGCACGTACTATACAGATTGTCTAAAAATTGCCTATTTTCAACTCCTTAAAAACAGTCGGTATGTAATCCCCTTAAGTAGAAAAAAATCAAAAATTTGAAAATATGGTCTTTGAATACATTCAAAGTTTCAAAAAATCAGAATTTGAATAAATTCATTACTATAGGAAACAATGGGAGGTGAGCATGCTTGGTGAATCACCCTGCAAATGTATATAATAACTAATAAGTATTTTTAGCAAAGAACAATGCTACTAGTGTACTACCGCTTGTTTTGTATTGATTTTTATATTATTTTTATAGTTGTGTAATTTTTGTAAAAATGTATATACATAAGAGTATAAGACTGATGTTTTTTTACTGTATGTTCTATGTTATATCATGAATTACCTAATGACTCTAAATAAAACAACTTATAATTATAAATTATAACTTTTGACACAATATATTATGTACCTATACATAATATTGTGTTCATACTTATATTCAATTTTTTTTCAGTGGGCTTTTTTTCGGTGATTGGTTTTAACGATATACCTAAACGTTGTTGGACTTTAAGTTAGTAAAATCAATAGTTAAATGTATCATTTTCATACGATTTAGATTTCAGAATAAAAATAATCATTTAGAGTAATAGCCTGGAAATTTTCAACGACATTTATTTTTAGATATTTTTATTATGTTTAATATCTTAATCCCTGGCACGTGCCATTGAATTAGTATCACCAATGCGATATTGTTCACACTTTCGCAGCCACGAATTAAGATACTTGAATAGTTAATAGTAAATACCTAATTAATTATTATCTATTACCATTTACCAAAACCATTTAAAAATTGATTACAGTTCAGTCTTTCTTAGTCGCACCCTCTGATTCTCACATAAGTTGTCCATAAATGGCTTAAAATCTTGAATTAAAAGAAAAGAAAAATTATATTTATTTAAATTAACCTTTTTTTATATTTCAATAGTAAAAAGCGTGGAAATGGATGTCTGCTGTGCATTAGGTGTCTAGAAGTTCGCTGTAATAGATGGTATTAAATTTGAATTCAATGATATGATATTGTATACGAAAAACGATTCTGAGAGAAGACGGTGTGTCGGTGTGTCAGTGTAGGATATTTTGTAATATACTAATATTATTACTTATTATTAATATGGTGCCAGTAACTAGTAAGTTGAATTAATATTATTCTTAAATTATCAGTATCAGTGATGCTGGAAAAATATTAAATGTAGATACTTATGTGAAATTGGGCTGTTCGGGAACCGAATTACAACAAAATAACAAACGTTATTCACTGCGTTAAAATGTAATTTTGTCCAAATTTGAACTTAAAATGACTGTATTTATATATTTTTTAGGTTTTTTAGTTACTGAAAAAACTTCTTAAGTGAGACCTTGTTTTAAATTTTCATTCCTGATGAAATAAACATTTTCAAGTATTTACAGTAATT